TATCTAGAGATTGTAGGTTGAAATCTCCCAGCACCATAAATTCAGGGAGATCTACCACCAACCCAACTATGGAATCAAGGAACTCAGATTGCAACATAGCAGGGAAGCTGGTATAACAGCAACAGTTCTAACTGACCTCTCCTGGTATCCAACTTAAGAAACAGTGTCTCACATCCAGCAATGTGTAGGGCAAGACTCCTGGATGCCTCCCAAAAATCTTGGACAACCTTTGATATATAACTTTTCTGTTTTTGAAAAGACAATTTTAGTAATGCAAAAATAATGTATCCTTTTTGTTTCCCATTTTTTGTAATTTTCATAAACCTTCTTTCAGTAAATAAATAATGATAATAATAATAATTGAAAGGGTATGTTTCAAAGTTTTTTTTCCCCCCAGAGATGGCCTGAGAAAGTGATGTTTGCAGCTAAACTTCTAATTATTTACCTGGGGAACTCAGGAAGTCTTGGGGCGTTTGTCCCCTTTCTTTTCCCAGATGAAACTCCCTTTGGAGAATTTAGGAAAAAATGTTTAGTAATGCTAATAATATTCCCACTTCATATCACCAAGAGGGATAATTTAATCTAAGTGCTCCCACAGGGGACTGAGACTGCGTAATTTGAAACAGGGATGTGAACACTTTATTCAGGAGAAAACAAGACTCCGATCCATTGGCTTGTCCAACAGACAGAGCAGGAAAATAGACTCAGCTTCATCCAGGTAAGTTTGACATATCTGGGAATAATTTAGATAGATGTCCAACAAAATTCTATGATTATCACAGTTAGGACTTGACCAAGGCTCACAAGGCCTTTTGTGTTGCCTCTGATTGTCAAGGGTCTCAGAGCCATGCACCAACCCATCCATTCCTGCCCTTCTGTGAATAGTGGAAATTGTTCAAAACTGGTTCATTTTCTGATCTCTGCTTCCTCCAGAAGCAGCTCCACGCATCATGTGCATGGCAGTCACTTCTTCCAACCCTTTCTCTAAAGGAAGGCTGGAGTCAATCCTGCCTCTCACAAGAGCTTTAGAATGGGAATTGAAAGTCCAAGTCTAGGTAGACCTCTGAGAAACGACAGAGAAAGCTTTTTAAATCACTTCTTTGGAATGTTTAATTACCTAAACTGTTGTCTTCCATGAAGTGAAGCACTAGCAATAGCATTCAACATATACCACCCCACAGTGCTTTAAAGCACTTTCTGGGCAGTTTACAATGTGAACATATTGCCCCCAAAAGTATGGATCCTCATTTTACCAAAGGATGGAAGTCTGAATCAACCTTGAACTCCATCAGGATCGAACTTGAGACTGAGTGCAGAGTTTGCCTATAGTACTGCATTCTAACCATTATGCAAACCAGAGCTCCTGGAAAGAGCTGTTCACACCTTTGAGGAAAGAAGACACTAATCTGGATCTAAGCAAATGATGCAACTCCCCTGATGAGATGAGCTTCAGGAAGAACCATGGCTGAAAAATGTTCAGTTACATAAAGGAAAGAAGGCAGATCTTTTTTGCTGTTCCACTGGCTAGAAAAGAGGTCATTCAGTGGGATTGGGGTGGGTATCGGGTGAAGAGTGAACCTGTATTTTGGGCCACAAAATAGAAAGAAAGACAACAGTTTACAAAACTACACTAGACATCACCTTTGTTATTGCTTCTGCTTAAGTGATATGTTCTCTGGGATAGTTTGAATGGAAATCAGAGGAGGTCAATCCACCTCAGGTAGCTAGTTCTGGACTTTCATTAAAAGGGAGAAAATTATGAACCTGTATGAAGAAATAATAAATAATAAATGAATAATAAAAGGGACACGGTGGCTCAGTGGCTAAGACACTGAACTTATTGGCAGTTCAGCAGTTCGAATCCCTAGTGCCGCATAATGGGGTGAGCTCCCGTTACTAGTCCCAGCTTCTGCCAACCTAGCAGTTCGAAAGCATGTAAAATATGCAAGTAGAAAAATAGGGACCAACTTTGGTGGGAAGGTAACAGTGTTCTGTGCGCCTTTGGCGTTTAGTCATGCCGGCCACATGACCACAGAGATGTCTTCGGACAGCGCTGGCTCTTCAGCTTTGAAACGGAGATGAGCACTGCCCCCTAGAGTCGGGAACGGCTAGCACATACGTGCAAGGGGAACCTTTACCTTTTATGAAGAAAATAGTTGTTTCTTCATCATTAGAAATGTGACAAACAACAGAACATCAACTGGATGAAATTGTTAGGAATAAAATAGAGATGTATATAAAGCTTAATGGATTATGAAGGTCCTCAGATGAGTTAGAGCATTGCAGTAATAATCATCTATAAGTGAATACCTTGGGTGACAGGATGCACAACTTTCCAATCTGAGAATTCAACTAGCCTATAACTGGCATGGAATAAACTCCCATGGTTATAGTTATGCAAAGATACAGATTCAGTTCATATCTCATTAAGTTATGCAATTCACTGGCTCACTTTTAATTTTATCACTTCCTCGCAGTCTGTCCTGCCTCTTTATCACACAGATATCCAAGAAGAATCAACCGTGCTCTCTTGCTCTCTTGAGCTCATTAAAAAGAATTTATCTCAACAAATAAAATAAAGCAAGAATTCCCAATTAGTAAATGATCAGTAAAGGATCATTTATAGAAATGCTATTATTAAAATGATTAGAAGATCATACAAATCTAAATATAAACTGCTAGCAGAATAATTTTTAGGAGGATATGCTCATCTGTTTAAAAATCTATATAAGGTATCTTCTTGACCTGCCTTGTGAAATGCTGATCAAAGTATAGTTGAGATCAAGGAGTTACACATTATGTTTTTCCTCCTTGTCTTGCAGTCTGAAAATTCATCCACCGTTTTACAATTTATAAGTGCAAACTTTGTCATCAGAACTGACCAGGTATTTACTATGACCGTGTTCCAAAAATATTTCAGACCATAAAATAGGAAAAATACATACAGTATGTTTTGGACTATGATTATTGAAGTAATTTTTATTATTTTTTGAACAGATTTTGTCTTCCAAAACCATATTCTAAGTGCTTTAGATTCCCTCTCTGTGTTATGTATTTTATATAAGAGAACATTGTCAACCTTGGTTAAGCGTCTGCTATGAATATATACAGTTAATTTTGCTATTGCCATGTATTTTCCAAAATTTTCTCCCAAGCCTGTTTGGTCTGCAAGATTTCTCTTCCCAAGAAGAGTCCCAGAAGGACTCTTGCCACCGTCAGCATATTTCTTCATAAATTGTGATGCTTTCCTTTTATATTCTCCAGTATCATACTTAATAAAAATATTTGTAGTTTTAATTCAGTTTTTATTATCATATGTTTTTGTACACATTGGTGTATTTTTTTCCTTATAGTCTTTTTGCACAACCAGCACATATGCATCCAGTTTTGGTCGCCATGATATAAACAAGATCTTGAGACTCTAGAAGGAGAACAGAGAAGAGCAAAAAAGATGATCAGGGACTGGAGGCTAAAATATATAAAGAACAGTTGCAGGAATTGATTATGTCTATTTTAATGAAAAGAAAGACTAGAGGTGACATGATAGCAGTGTTCCAATATCTAAGAGCTGCCACAAAGAGGGGGACAACCTATTCTCTGAAGTACCTGAAGGCAGGACAAGAAGCAATGGATGGAAACTAATCAGCTTGAACTAAAGAGAAATTTCCGGACAGTTAGAACAATTAATCAGTAGAATGAGTTGCCTTCAGAAGTTATAGCTCCAACACTGGAGGTTTTTAAGAAGAGATTAGACAACCATTTGTCTGATATGGTATAGGGCAGTGATGGCTAACCTTTTTGCCATCACATGCCAGAAGGGGGGGCGCAGGGGGGTCGCACACATGCATGCCCACACCCATAATTCTATGTGAAAACAGACCGTTTTTGGTCTCCAGGGGCCTTCCAGGGGGGGGGGGAAGGCCGTTTTCGCCCTCCCCAGACTCCTAGAGAGGCTCTGGAGGCTGGGGACAGCAACAAACTGGCCTTCTGGTCCCATTGGAAGTTGGCAAACGGGCTGTTTCTGGCCTCTGGGGGGCCTCTGGGGGGTGGGGAAGACTGTTTTTGCCCTCCCCAGACTCCTAGAGGGGCTCTGAGGCTGGGGACAGCAAAAAATGGGCCTTCCCCACCACCCCCGAGGCCCTCTGGAGGCAGGAAACAGCCTGTTTTCCTACTTCTGGTGGGCCCAGAAGCCCCGAAAATGAGCTCACATACCACTGATACGGCTACGTATGCCACCTGTGACACACATGCCATAGGTTTGCCATCACGGGTATAGGGTTTTCTGCTTGAGCAGGTTGTTGGATTAGAAGACCTCCAAGGTCTCTTCCAACTCTATTGTTCTGTTATACTTATCAATGGAAAGTCCAGATGAAATTAAAGTCAGTATAGGTTTATTGCTAGCGTTTTTGGCAGTTCCTTGATTGGGGCATTGTTTGCTTTTTGATTGTTATCCTAATGTTACTCTGGGTGTTAATCAGTGGGTGGGTTGCCCCAGTTCGGACCGGTTCGCAAGAACGGTAGTAAAACCAGCAGGAGGCCCCACCCACCGTCCCGGATGTTGTCATCAGTGATCTGCACATGCACAGAAGCTTCTGCGCATGCACAGAAGCAAGGCACGTCCACAGAAGCAAGGCACGTGCGTGTGATCCTGTTGCGAACCAGTAGTAAAGGTAAGTAGAACCCACCCCTGGTGTTAATCTATGCTCATCTGGGTGTTGATTGCTGGTAAGGAGGTGTTTTGCTCTTTTTGTCCACTTCTGGGCTTGTTGAATGTCTCTTTTGAATGGATGAAGCCTGTATCCCATAACTATTATAGAATGTTAAAAACTGGAAGCCAAATCAGTTCAGGGAAAAGTTGAAAACAGCATACCAAATACTGTACTTCAAAGGGTTTTCAACACATGCTTCAAAATCGTAGCACAAATTCTGTATTCTGGGACTGAAAATTGTCAAATTTTGACTTCTCTTTCTTTTCTAAACAGATTGTGCTTATGAAAATGATGGGAGTGGAAAGCAATCGAACACTTGTTACAGATTTTGTCCTTGTTGGATTTACAACAGATCCATTTCTACGAATTATCTTCTTTGTGGTGTTCTTTGTGTCCTACATCATTACACTGACTGGGAACCTGGGTCTCATGTCCTTGATCTACCTAGACTCCCGCTTGCATACACCTATGTACTTCTTTGTGGGCAGTCTTTCCTTCCTGGATGTCTGGTACTCCTCGGTCTACACTCCTCGGATCTTGTCTGACTGTGTATCCAACAATAATCACATGTCTATAGCTGGTTGTGCAGCACAATTGTTCTTCTCTGCTGGCTTGGCCTACAGTGAATGCTTCCTACTGGCCTTCATGGCCTATGACCGCTATGTGGCCATCTGCAATCCACTTCTTTATACCACTGCCATGCCCAAGAAGCTCTGCATCCAGCTGGTGGTAGGAGCTTACATAGCTGGCTTTGCCAATGCCATTGCACATATTAGTAACACTTTCCGCCTACGCTTTTGTGGGAACAACGTCATCAATCACTACTTTTGTGATGTGCTGCCTCTTCTGAAAATGTCCTGTGATGATATAGGATTCTATGAAGTCATTCTGACTGCTCTCATAGGTTGCAATTGGCTGGTAACCTCAACTATCATTCTGAGCTCCTATATTGGTATTGTAGGAGCCATCATTCGTATCCATTCGTCCGCAGGGAGACGCAAAGCCTTCTTCACTTGCTTGGCCCACCTGGTGTCAGTTACGCTATTTTATGGCTCCATTCTCATTATGTATTGTAGACCCAAATCTCAAAACACTCCAAATTGGAACAAGGCAAATGCATTGTTCTATACCATAATTGGCCCTCTGGTTAACCCTTTCATTTATAGTTTACGCAACAAAGATGTGAAGGCAGCCTTCAAGAAAGTCTGGGAGAGAGTCACATCATCTAAATGAATGTCACTGATACTGTCTTTCTCCAGAGTAGATTTCAGATAGTAAATTAAGACCCTGCTGTAGTGTTGCCTTCCTTCCTCCCTCCCCTCCCTCCCTCCCTTCCCAATGGTTGAGGGAGCCATTTTCAATATCTGCACTTTTAATTTTCTTGGCAGTCAATTGATTCCTTTGCACACATCTTCCCAGTCCTTCTCTGACCTGATAACAATCTTCAGAGTATGGTACCCAGGGAGGTACCATACTTTGTACATACTATAAATGGTATATATAGTTCTTCCTTTCAGTTCTTAGAGCAGAGAGAAACAGATGTTGCATTATTTCAAGTTGTTTCAAGGGTTTTCCATGACTTCCATGGGGGGGGGGGGATTTTCACGGGGAAAACTGTATATTTTTCAACAGCATGTGTTCTGTGTGGTGTTTTCAAGTACTCTGACCTCATTTGAAATTGTCAGACATTCATAGCCAGATGTTATTCTATGGAGAACCAAAGACAGACCTCTTGCTTAGATTCTCAGAAGCTCTCTTAAGTAAATGAGGCTTACAGCTTTCCTTTTGGACTTAGTTTTCGACACAATAAAACGCACAGGAAAAATCCTACTTCTAGTGAAAATTGCTATTAGGGATAGAGTTAGATTTTCATGAAGTCTGGGCCAATAACATAGACTAAGACAATTTTTCCTGTGTGGAAGTCATGTGTGGAAAACTATGTAAAAGAAGACACAATGCTTGTTTTCTGTAAGTATTATTGACCTCTTTCCTCTCTTCCCTCAGGATGGCTAGCACAGTCCAACCTCTTAATTCAAACTTTTAAATTATTGTAGGGTTTTACTACAATAAATAAATTCTGCCAATGAAATAATGGCTTGGTAGGGGGAAATAAAATGTTATACAGCAGTGGTGTCAAACTCGATTTTATTGAGAGCCACATCAGGGTTGTGTTTGACTTGAGGGAGGTGGGGGGCATGGCCAGAGTGGCGTGGCCAGCTCAGCATCACTCATGTTGAAGATGCCTGTGGTGGTCTGCGAAAATGGAACTCGGGAGGGCTGCACATGGCTCTCCCAAGCTCCTTTTGTGCTGGCAGAGGCACTGCCGGCCGATCCTTCACTGTTTCCAGGGCGGTCCCGCAGGCCAGATCTAAGCATCCTGTGGGCAGGATGTGGTCCGTGGGCCTTCAGTTTGACCCCCCTGGGAAAGCTTCAAAATGTTTATGTGTGTGAATATTCATATTTTTAAATTCTACATTGCATTCAAAGGAATGAGTTTGAAAAGCCATAAAAATAAAACTAATATTTTTTTAAAAAAATTAAAACAAGGCTTGTTTTTCTTATATATAAGCTACCGGTTTTTAAAAATTCAAAGAAAATGAATGCACAAATTGTAATTTATTTCCAAAATATGATGAGGTTTGAGGTCTTAGGGAGTGGACTAAAAGGCCTCCAAGATCCCTTCCTATTGTTTGATTCTCTGATTCTGTTAATTATCCACTTTAGCCAAACTCTAAGCAGGATATCTACAAGGAAATGTCGGGATTGGTTTGGATAAGCAAACACATTTGCAGAGGAGCAGGCTGGCTTTAGGAAGCCCGATCTACCATTAATGAGTGTCCAGTAGTCTATCATCTCATTGAAAAATATTCCTTACACAACATGTCTCTATATGCCACTTTCATAGATTTTATTTAGCATTTGATTCTATATCCCAAGCTAACTTGTGGGAAAATTTGGAGACCTCCTTGATTGATTGACATCTTTTTTAAAAAAATATGAATGCTTCATGAAGTGACCTCACTCAAAGTAAGAGTAATCCCCAGGGCAACCTCTCCAAGGCGGCCAGAACTAACAGAGGTGTCAAGCAAAGATTTGTGTCATTCCCACTCCTATTTAATTTCTATATCAACTCCTTGGTGGACCTTCTCCTCAACATGAATTTTCACACACACACACACACACCCCAAAAAAAAACTTGCTGGAAGACACATTTCTGTTCTACTCAGATGACTCAGCATTATTTTCAAGAATAGTTATTGCCTTAAAAGAGCATTGAAATCACTAGCAGAGTACTGCAGAGAACACTAATTAGTACTCAGGAAACCAAATCATGGCAATTGCCAAAAGGCCCAAGAGCCACTCCTGGTATTTAGATGGGCAGAATTTAGAAAACTGAGCAGGTGTCCTGTTTCAATTATCTGGAAGTTGTCCTTCACTCTGCTAATACTAGGAAAATCTACGGAGACTACATTACTGAAAATGCACAGAAGAACACAACTGCCATACTCAAATTTCTCAAGACAAAAAGTGGTCACTATATACTTACAGCACTCAAACTATTCATAGCCAAGCCAATAACACACATTCTTTACAGAACCCAGCGGGGCCCTTTTATAACTATGCACCATTACAATATGTTCAATCCAACTTTCTAACATTGGCCCTTGAGATTCTCAGATGTGGTTCTAATGCCTCCCTGAGATTGGGGACAGGCTCATGAAAATGGAGGCTAGAGTGTGTCAATTACCGGCTCAAACTCTCATTTTTTTCTCTTTGACCCTGCCGCACTAACTACGAGAGATGATTTTCAATCGACATGAAAAAGGCCATTGCAACTAAAGCCTTATCCTTGGGCTTCTCTACAAGTCTTTTACTGAGCACAAGATATGATCAAGCTAAAGCTCTCATTAAACAGCATATAGGCTGCATATAGACACAGAGCCGCAGCTGGATCTAGCCAGGCCCCCATCTTTTATTGATGATGAAAGTTGGCGAATGAATGAACCTATCAGAATGAATCTGATAGGCTCTCTGTGTCTCCCATGACACCTTTAACAACCTTGAAGTACCTAGACACTGGATGGCCTTCATGCTTATATAATGTCATGCTCTCCACTCAGCTATCATAGAAAGCCAATACAGAGAAATTCCCTACCTGGAGAGACAATTTCTCTTGTTTGTAACTCACCCACCCCCTTACGCTGACCTATGACCATAATAAAGATTTTATTAATTGACTCACTTTAGTTCATTTTGATTTGATAGTTTTCAGACAACTATGGATAACTTCCTTACCTAGGATGAGGAATCTTGAAGATTACAGTTCCTAATGAGAGCAGCAGAAAGCCAGGTCATCCATCTTCTTCCTTTTGACAGACCATTCTCTTAAGCATGCCTGGATTTCAATTATACTTTTTAAAGCTCCTGTTTTGCTTCAACTCTCTAAAAGTTGACTGGTTGGTTGAATGCTGATTTATTTTAATCCCCTGCTGGATTTTATCCATTTCTTTCTTGTTCTTTTTCTTTCATTTTTTTTTTTACTTTTTTTGAATAACCTTTGTCTTCTGTAAGGAAATGTTTGGACTTGATTTACATATATATTGGACATTCACTACACTTTGGAGCTTATTTCTTTAAAAAATATTTTTATCCTGGACAAAAAATATTCTCCCAGGAAGTGTGGCCATTAATATCATAGAGAGATGACAGGTTAATAATTTATAAACAGAATTATAAGTTTGAAAATTTGAGGGGGGGGAGCTGTTTCGTAAAGGGTGGGAAACCAATATTGTTATAATATATTTACCAGTATTCAACTAGGAGGGATAATATGTGTATGTGTGTTTGGGGGGGGGGTTGCACTTTTTTTAATGTTTCCTTTCTTTTTTGTTTGTTTGTTTGTTCCTATGGATTTTCTCCAGTTTTGGAGTTTTGTATTTTAACTCTTTTTGAATAAAAATAAAAATCATTATGAAAAAAGTAATCCCTCTTTTTATTTTTCTCTTCAGTTTATAGTTTCATTGTTTCTTTCTTTGAATTTTTCTGTAAAATTTGTTTAAATGAATAATTATAATAAATTTAAAGGGATGCCATTATGAATTCTACATTGCACCGATGTTTTTCTAGGAAAGGCCCCTGAAACAAGTGATAATTTTAACTGAACTTCAAAGGGCCCTCAACATGGAAGGCGAATGCTTACCTGGAGATCACAGGTAACCTCATGGAATGGTGATTTTTCTCCCCACCTCCTTTTTTAAAAAGATGAACTCCCTTTGGAGGAATTAAGAAAAAAACTTTTGGCATGATACCAATGTTCCACCTTCAGATCATCAAGAGGAAAGACTCAGTTTAAATACTTCCCCAGGGAATGGAGAGAATCTAATTTAAAGAAGTATTGTTCTCACCTTACTCAGGAAAATACAAGGCTTCCATATAGGCTGCTCGGTTGGCTTGTCCAAAGAACATAGCGGGAAAAAAACCTCAGCTTCATTCAGGTACGTTTGGCATAGCTGGGCATAATTTAGATAGATGTCCAGCAAGATTCTATGATTATTGCTGTTAGGACTTAACTAATGCTCACATATCTGTTTTTGTCACCTCTGATCATCAGGGGTGTCACAGCCATGCAACGACCCATCTATTTCTGTCTTTCTGTGAATAGTGGAAGGTGTTCAAAAATAATTCACATTTCATTTTTCCAATTTCTGCTTCCCTCCAGAAGCAGCATCATGCAACATGTGCATAGCGGTCACTTCTTCCAAGATTTTCTGTGAAAAGAAGATAGGAGTCAATACTGTCTCTGACAAGAGGCTTAGATTGGGAGTTGAAAGACAAATCCCAGGTAGAGTTCTGAGACATGGAAAGCTGTTCATAGCCCTTCTTCAAAATGTTTAACTAACTGAACTTCTATGAAGTGGAAAGGGAGCTTCCCACACCTCTGAGGAAAGGGAACAGTAATATGGACTTAAGCAGAAAATTGAACCCCCTGATGAGATGAGTCTCAGTTAAAACCTTGGCTGAAAAACATGCAGTTGCAGTAGGATAGTGACAGCAAATGTTTTCTGCTGCTTCTCTGGCTAGAAATGAAGTCACTCAGTGGGACCAGGGAGAGGAGTGGACATTCTCTTTAGGCCACAAGAAAGGTCTTTCAATGAATCAACCAGTTTACACAACACTGGACACTCTCCTTTCTTTGTTTATTGATTGTATCTACTTGATGCTTTTTCAAGGGC